GTGGCGAGACCTGGTGAGGGTGGACGTGTCCGCCACCGTCGCCCGCAGGGAGATGTATTTGGGTCTCCCACCCATCCCACAAGCCTGTCAGCCGTGGGGCCCCTCGTGCACCCCGACCGGCGCCATTCCCCCTCCCCGTGTAACGAACATGGGCTGAAGCGGAGGCTTTCCCTTTACCAGCAGCCCGAATCCCTTCTAATCGCTCAGGTCCCAGCTTGACGAAACATTTAAAAAGCGTACTTGACTCCGTCCCAATTCAGCAAGGCAATTAAATGCACTCATAAATCCTCCTGAAGTAAATGAGACTTAATCGTGGGCTTAGAGCTCAGCTGAATTCAGACCTTAGCAGCAGGGCAAGTTTCCCTTAACCTCTTTCCCAGCTGTGCGAGGCTGTCACATGCTTCGGCGTCTGAACCGAGCTCACCGCACCGACCGCGTCCTGCCGCGCTCTCCTCTAGCCCTTCGCCAATGTTCCCTTTACCTTCGCACCGAGGGTCACGCGGCCCCTCTGCCCTGCCGGTCTCTCTGCTCTAGGGCAGAAGAGCCCGTGAGAGCCGCAGGTTGGGAGCGCGCGTGGTGGAGGTCTGTGGGCGGAAGCGCGTGGTGACACAAGGGACTTCCTCCTCTTGAGGTTGGCGTCGGAGTTAACGGGATGCCTACGCGCTGAGGCGCTCCCAGCCACGAGGAAACCACGTCTCCTTTGGGCTGGAAGCTCTGAGTGGAGCTAGCTGGCCTTTTAATCCTTTCCCTCAAGACCGCTTATAGTCCCTCACGCTGTTCCCCTGCCGCGCTCGCCTCTAGCCCTTCGCCAATGTTCCCTTTACCTTCGCACCGAGGGTCACGCGGCCCCTCTGCCCTGCCGGTCTCTCTGCTCTCCAGGGCAGAAGCCCGTGAGAGCCGCAGGTTGGGAGCGCGCGTGGTGGAGGTCTGTGGGCGGAAGCGCGTGGTGACACAAGGGACTTCCTCCTCTTGAGGTTGGCGTCGGAGTTAACGGGATGCCTACGCGCTGAGGCGCTCCCAGCCACGAGGAAACCACGTCTCCTTTGGGCTGGAAGCTCTGAGTGGAGCTAGCTGGCCTTTTAATCCTTTCCCTCAAGACCGCTTATAGTCCCTCACGCTGTTCCCGTGGTCCCCCCCTGGATGCGAGTTCTTCCACGAGCGGAACAAGCGAGTCTCTCGGTGCCCAGAGCTACGAGACTCCTCTAAAGCTCTGCAAAACGAGAGACGGTAGATTTGGAGGTGGAGGGGCGCTGCAGAGGGGTGCAACACCTGATGAAGCCCAACCAGGGCCTGAGGAGGAGGTGTCAACCACCCAGGTCAGGTGTGCAGCGAAGACCTTCCCTGGGCCCCTCCCGTATCCTTCCCTCGTATCTCCCTCATCAAACTGAAAGGCAAACCGAGGAAACCGGTAACAAACACATCTCAGCTGGTCTTAGCTGCTGGACAGACAATGTGGGGACGTAAGAGGCTGTTTGCTTATTCATAGGGTAGGTAATGATTTATGCAGCGTGTGTTGGTTGTGCTTTTGTTTCCCGCCCTCACGCTGTTATTCCGTAACAGTCTGCGGCGGTTGATCAGCACGTGAAAATTAACTCGTACCGAAAAGTTTAATCTTCAAGCACCTTGAGACAGCAAGGGACGCATCGGGAGCGATGACAGCAGCAGAAAGGACCCGCGGCTTGTAGCGCTTTTTGTTTTCAGCAGCCTAGTCAAACGCCTGGCTCGGGTAGAAAGAGTTCTTTATTTTGTGTGGGAAGGCTTGGAGTTAATCAACTGTAACAGATGACCGATGGCTCCTAGAGACTCTTGTTGGGGCAGTTGTTTCACCAGGTCAAAGGCTTTCATCCCCACCTCACGAGCCTGGAACGAAAACGGAAAAGACAAAGTAATTGTCAGGAACTTGGCTTTTCCCAAGGTGTAGTTAAAATACCTGCAGCGGCTCATCCCGCGGGGGGGCGGCCCCGGCCTCCAGCCACTCAGCCGCCTGCTTCAGAGGGTGACCCGCACAAGCTGCTTTACAGGGGAGAGTAAAGCTGCCAGCAGATACTGTGTTTAGGATCCAGTGGTGCAGACGGAAGAGATTACTAACCCCGGCCCCCCGCGCTGGAGATCGTTACCTCCCATCTAACACAGCAGCTCATCTGAACATTCCCAAAGCTATTTCAGGAAAAAAAAAACCAGCTGTATGGACTCGGTCTGAACTAAATCCCTCATCTCCCTCGGTAGCTCTTCCAGGGATTAGGCATTCTCACAGTTATAAAGCCGTGCCTTTTTTCTAATTTGAATTTGCTTCTTTGTGTCTTCCAAACACTGACTCACATCATTATGGCTTTCTCCGATACAATGAAGAGACCATCAGTAATCTGTATTTTCACCCTCCAAAACACAGGCAGAAGAAACTCGGGCTTTTGAGTGCTTAGCCCGAACAAAGAGGCCTGATTTCCAGATGGTTACTGCTCAGCACTTCCTCAAAATCAACAATTTTTAACAGAGAGAATCGGGCACTCTGAAGTTAGCAGCCGCATCTGAAATTTTCAGCTGTAAAAACACAGGGGTGCAAATTCAAAACTGAATTACGGGGTCCGAGAGAGTGAACCTGCATTAATACAGTGGTAATTACAGGGAGCCTGGCTCAAGGAGAGACACGTGCAAGGCCCGTGCCTTGCTCGCTGCCCAACACCTGACCTGACGTCTGCATGCAGCCTGTGCCAGGCAGCTACGCTGCCAGGGTGTCCCAGGTAAAGGACGAACCCAGAAAAAGTGGATAACTACAGGATCCACTGTGGATGGCCTGGCAGAGACCAAAACAGATCCAGGGGGCTTTATTAGCCTTGACAGAGTGCAGATCGCGAGCCGGCTTCACGCAGAGCTGCCGAGGCAGCTTTGTCCTCGGTCATCCAGCGCCCCAAGGCTGTTGTGGACTCGGGAGAGGTGTCAGGTGAACGCAGGCAAGCGGCTTCATGAGCTGGGGCGAGCACTGAAACAGAGTTAGGCAACCCTCCTGGACCCTTCCGCCAGGCGAGACTTACTTTCGACAAATCCAGGACCAGGTAATAAAGCATGGCGAGAGCGTGCAAAACTCTGGCCGTTTCCCCAGGTTGTTGCTTTGGTGCCTGCTCTCTGACACCTAACACGGCATTCAGTACTCGGATTGCTTCAGCTTGCTGGGCTTCAGCTGCGTCAAGAACGAAACAATCGTGTTGGATGTATGTATGCATGCTAGATAATATATTCAAAACTGTCCAATTATCTCTTCTAGACATCAAAGCGTTTCTACTACAAGCATCAACGCGGTATCCCAGCTCCATGCAAATTCCACACCCATTAACAGATATCTTTTCATCCAGTCAGTAATTGCGTTGATTAGCCTTTAGTAAGGATGTGGAGTCATAACAGCTGCATGAAAAGAGCAACTTTCATGCTCCCGTCATAGCCGAAGATGGTATCGTGTAGCCCCGTCTTGGCGTGGCTCCTGCTGGATGGAGACAATGCCCGGGTAAAGGGATTTACAGAAACGTTTCTCTTCTCTGACAATATCCTTATTGGCCCGGACGGCAGAAAGAAGAGAAGGACCAGAGTCCAGCCTGACTTCAGCGGAGCGTAGGGCAGCACCATGCACGCTAGCGTATTTCCTAATGCTTTATGCACCTTTATGTCCTAGCGAGAGATTCCCCAGCTCCTCTCCCGAGAGTATTGTCCGGATTAATACATCCAATTATCAGTACACGCTGTTCCGTCGTGTCCTACTGCTTCAGAAGACAGAGTTGTAAGCCTGCCTAAGTGAGATGAAATGTCACTTTCACGTAATTAAATGGAGACAAAGGAGCTGCAGAGAAATGAGAATGTTGAAGTGGAATCGAATCCCGAAAGGCAAAATCTCGTATTGTTACAGTCACTGCCGAGGGCGCTGTGAAAAGGAGCACGTACACAAAAAGGGCAAAGCCCCGTTTCCACTTGAACACCCTCATTCCTAAAGCGGCCTCGTTTGTTTCATCCAGCACGATCCACTGAGCATCAACATCAGAAATACCCGCGATTCCGATTAAGTTTGGTCTACAGAAATGCCACGCAAAACCCAACGCCGTCAATATGAACAGCGGGATGTATGGACTCTCTAAAATCCCGTCTTCCAAACGGTTCTGCGCAATAGCGGTGCTTACTCATACAGTAGTCGCTGACTTCCTTGTCCTCGGTGAACGGAGACATTTCTGGTCGCGATGTGAGAATTTGCTCCTGCGCTTGAACTGACTTCACAAGAAAGGCATGCCAGATGTCGGTTACCTATCAGGAAACAAATGAATTATTTCACTTGTATGAATAGATGGTATTTAGCAACTAGTTGTTCCATAAACAACGTGTCCTGCAATGCACGTCCCTGCCGCAATAACCGGAGTGCCTGCTGGTTAGTGAGCTGGCTGCTGCCAAGCTGGATGTTTCACGCAGAGCTCGGCGGAGAGCGGCCCGTTCTGCCCCCAGCGGCAGCCTTAGCTGGAAGCTCGCTTCTCCGGCTGACTATTAATTTTCATCAAACTTGAACAAATCTAACCAAATTGTTAACCAAAAGCAAATTTGGCTGAAGTTTGCAAGGGGGACGGCGGCAGACTGCACAGCTGCCGAAGCCTCGGTTCCACAGAAAATCAAGCTCAACAAACGCAAGCTCATTTTTTCCCCAGTTATTAGAGCGATGAGGTAATTGTTACTTCCCTTGCTTCATCCCTCTGTTCTGACGATCTTTTATCAGTGTGACCTTCCACTGATCCTCAGCGTAAAGTTTACACGGCTCGTTTGTATCCCACTGCTGCTCAGCCACTCTTCCCTGGCTATGGAAACTCCTTGGCAACCCTCCCTACTTGCGGGACTCTCTCTAACCTCCGGCGCGGGGTATTTGGTAGCAAAGCTGGTTTTTAATGAGGTTTGGCTGCCCAAGTTGAAGTCAACTTGGATAACAATTTTCAACCGAGTGCAGAAATTGCTCTCTCCTGGTTTTAACTCAGAGAATTTAAGTATGAAAAGGGTTTCTGAGATTGATCCTAAAAGGCAACGCTGGCACTTGATATGGTCGCCATCACATCAAGGGCAGTCAGAAACAGGAAAAACATTGGGAAGAGAACAGAAAAAAACTGCCAAGTACATAGAGGATGCCCTTTGGTTTTACCAACCTCAGCATAGAGCGAGTTTGCTATGTCCATTTTGTTCTGGCGAAAGAAAACATTAGCCATGTGGAAATACCCTCCAGAGGCCTCAATGGATTTTAGCCCAAACGTAGAACTAGCAAGGTAAATCTGAAATCAATATTAAAAAAAAAAAAAAGGCGGAAGTTTAACGTTCGTATCAAACCCGGGACATTTTTCATTATGGATTAATAACATTGCAAGCATTCAATTTTTTTCTGCCTAACTATAGCGTTAGTTGTGCCTGATTATGACTGTAAAACGTGGTACTAAAAAAAGCTGTATTTTGGGTTTTATGCGAAGGAATGCAACACCCCCAAATCCCCTGCTCGCTGGGGCAGAGGAACCTTGCTTAGCACAGCGTGTTACCCCGTTGAAGCATGGGGCAGGTTTCCCACATCTCCTCCTCTCACTGTGCAACCCGTATGTCTCTCGCCTTCAAACGCACAACCTGCTGCCGCTTTTCAGCTCTCCAGTCCTGCCCGCGGCGCCCGTTCCTCTGCCCAAAGCCCCAGCCAGAGCCGGGGGAGCGGGAAGGCAGTGGCACATTCCAGCTATTCTGAGCTGGCGTGTGACTCTCAGCAGATCTCAGACACGCAGCCAAAGTTCAGGCAGGTCTTGGGCTGCTCTGACATACCAGCGACTTGCTAATAGCAAAAAACTATTACCCAACGCCCTTTCAGGCACCAGATCCAGGGTATCTAAAAAAAACCAATGGCACAGCGGGGAATCTCTCCCAAAAGGTTTACAGACTAAGCGAAGACAGGGTTGTACGTATTATAATAGAAAGGATCAAATTCTCGACCGTGTGTCATCATTTACGTCCACACAAAGCTACTATCAAATTCAACAGTAGCGAGTACACATCACTCTGCACTGGATAACTTTAGTCTACGTGGGACATAAATAGGATGTTGCGGAGTTCATCTGCCTTTGGGGGATCAAATGACAGGCAAAGCATCCTCAGGAACACAGCAGGCAATAGCCACTTCAAATCTGACAAACTGCTCTCGTGGCTAAAAAGATTGGGCTGGGGAAAACACTATTGAAGCAGACACTTAAATCGTTAAATAAGGCATTCATTAAATAACGGCTGACAGAGAACTGCTGTCTAACAGAGAAGCATTGAGGAAAATGACAGCCAAAATATAAAGTAACTTATCTGTTGAATAAAAGGCAACTATATCAGTTTGGGGTGGGGTGGGAGGATTATCTGTTCATCTCAGGACCGGAACCAAGCTGACAGATAAATCTATAAGCAGATGCAGTAAGGACAAGGTATATGTCACTTCAAGGGAACAAGGATAACTGGTAAAACACAACTTTGGTAGCGCATGGATACACAGGTGTCCTAGATCTCGACAGTTCAGGTGTCCATAACATGTATCCTCTCAGTACCTAAAATCAGGATTACAAATCTGTCTGCTGGGGCTTCCACATCGACCTGGAAATGTTAGAGAAGGAAGAAAAATTGAAGCGTTTCTGTATTTGAGTCGGCTTACATCATTGGCCAGGTGATATAAAGCCTGTTCAAAGTTTCCTTCAGCAGCACAGAAAAGTCCCAGACTACGATGTAATTTACACTGAACAGCAACACTGCAGTCTGGAGTTCTGAGGACAATCCACTGAGCTTGGGAGAGATACTTCAACGCCTCTGGAAAATGGCCAACACCTGAAATGACACGTAGAAATAAGCAGGATAAAGAACTTTTTTTTTATTTAGAAAATTAGAGAATACTGCCCATTAATCCTTTGCAGTAGCTTGATATGGAGACCTAGTTTGTGGATTCCCCACTTCTCCCCTAAGTGCTCCTTAGTCGAGCAGGTGTTCAGAATCTAATTTATGGGCAGGCTGAGTGTCTAGAGCTACAAGAGAAACCAGAAACTGTGCGCTGCATTCAATACCTCTGAAACACGTGTTCAAAACAGGTTAGCTACAGGCAGCCACTAATGACTCGTGTATTATCACACTAGAATTACTCATGGGATTTTCCTTCCCTTCTCTCGCCACACCATTTATGACAATCCTTCAGATAGCTCAATTCTGCCAGCACAGCATTGCGTGCACGCCTGTCACGGCAATGATTTACAGCGGTTTCTCAGTCCTTTACGTCTGCAGCTGAGGGGAGCAGCCCTCCACACGCAGAATCCTAATTTGACGTTTTTTATAAAGCATACAGTCAATGAGAAAAAGCTCCGCTTCAGGCAGACCGCGCTTTTGTGAATGAACCGAGGCACTCCTCTGATGCCCTGGCCTCAGAAATGTTTGCTGGTTCCCTGAGATAAGAGCGCAACCAACCACCCTCGGGAACTTAATGCTTTTGAGAGTCATACGAAGCCACAGAGGTAAAGAATGGATTTTCATACTGCTTCTCTTGTGGGAATCGGTAGAGATGGAGAAAACATTTCATTTGCTTTCATTGATCTCTCATCACCGATGAGTGATTCTTTTCCCCAGACCCACACAGAAAAAGGGGGGCAGGGTGTGACTTCTCAAATCTCTCTGAAATGCCCTTGAGGCAGGGCAGGGTAGAGGCACGGCACAATGTTGAAACGCAGAGCTGGTCCTTCCCTGATAAATGGTAAAAGGAAACCAGAAACCTGACCCACGGGAGGTCTTGCCCTTGCCAACGTTACTGTTTAGACAATACTTACCAGCGGAGGCCTCAGCCAAGAGGAGATAAGCAGGCACCAATTGCACAGAATTTGAGCCGTACACTTCAGCACTGAAACGCAGCGCATGCAAAGCTGCAGGTATCGCTTCTTGATGCTTTCCATCCAAAACAAACTCCTGGGCTGTGCTGTACGCCAGATCGATGACGTATTTCTGCAGGGAAACATAGCAATGGGACAGAGTGAGCAAGGGATAAGGAGAAATAAAACGCACGCTCTCTTTACATTCAAGTTTGCAAACTGTAAAACGGTGACTGCAATGTTCTTTCTGTCTGTAATTAATGGATGGAAATTAAAGCTGTCATATTAGAGCCTGGATTTCGTTCCTACTTCTAGCAGGAACAGCTTTGGACATCCTCTCAGGTCATGTGGTGTCTTATGAAACGAAGAATCCTTTACGCCTACGAAAAAGGGCTAATAAGGCTGCAGCAATAAAAGCTGTGAAGCACAGAAAACGATCATCACAAGACCATAGGAAAGATTAGACAAAGGGGCTACGGCGGGGTTTTGCTGACGGTAATAACGGTGACTCATAGCAAGGCAGCGGAGCGTATGGTTTGCCAAGCTGGTGCCAGCACGGCGCACCTCCAGCTGCATGAGGCACGGCCTGGAAGCGAGGAGAGAGCCCCTCGCACGGTGCTGCAGCTTCCTCCCACCCTCCCCCGGCCAGTTCTGGGCCGGGTATTTTGGGTGCGGAGTCTGGAAAGCCGGTCAAAATCAGAATACCCTAACGCACTTATACTCCTGGATGGCCATCACCCAAGCCGGGTTTGGCGGTCAAGCAGCTTTTGCAGGATTTCTCTTTGTTGTCAGAATCCATAATGCTTCCCCTACGTACGGTTGCTTCCTGCCTTTTGCTGCTTCTAGCAGTCCACGCCGCTCTTGGTCTTTTCACCCTTCGCCGCATCTGATCTATCCACCAGCTCCATAAAAGTACCTCCGTTCGAATGCCTGTTCATTGCCAAGAGCTCTACAGCAACTGTAGATCTTGTGCCCTCACAACGTGCTGAGGGATGCCGGTGAAGAAGAGCCAGGATGCTTATTTATCTATTTCTCTTTGCTTTCAGCGTAATCGTTGCCAACTCCCAACACTTCTGCGTCGGCTTTTCACACAAGTGGTGCAGCGGGAAAGCTACCTGGAAAGAAATCTTGTTGCTGGCGTGCCTAGCAGTGCTGCCGTGGTAAGTCAGCAAGGCACTCGCTCTTCTCTTGCTAGGAGGCACGGGCAGGCCCGTGCAGTGAGCGCCGGCAGAAAATACCGTTTTACCTCTCTGCTGCCTTCTGTTTTACAGCTGTGGCTGAGCAGAGGGCAGAAAAAACCAAATCCCAGTGCTTTTGGAGGCCAGGCTTTGGCTGAGCTTTAAGCACTTAGAGAGAGGCAGAAGGAATCATGCCACAGGTGAAGGAACACCCGCGAGTGTTTCCCGAGATAGAGGGACATCCTTTCTGGACAAATGAGACCTTCGAAGAACGCACCCCAGAGCGATAGCACCCTGCTACAGCAAGGAGCGCCAAGAGCTAGAAAACACAGTGGTCATCCCCTCTCTAGCCCCTGAGCTGCCAGCACACAGAGGGTGAAAAAGGCACGCACCAAAACCAAGCCGTGCTGGGGGAGCGTGTGGCGCCCAGGAGAAAGTCAGCACGTGCTCAGGGCAAGGAGCAGTAAAAGCTGTTATTTATCAGGCTGCCTCTTCTGTCCATGCCACTCTTTCTCTGTCGCAACTGGCACGGGCTTTGGTGCGTGGGTATCAAGCAGATTGTCATCTGGGGAGGTGCTGGAGATCAGCATCATTCTTTTTTTTCACTCCTTGTCAATAGGATCATTGCTGCTTCCCATGATGTAAGCTATCTTAAAAACATCTGCAGTGAGGACACGCTCAGGGTTAGACTCTTGCACAGCTCCCAGGAGGAGAAGAAAGGGCAGGAGACCTCAGAAGCCCTGCAGCACTGAATATCTAAGACTGCGCAATTACAAGCCTTGGGGGGATCGTTAGCTTTGGCCCTGCACTGTTTTTCATCTTGCCCATAGCCCCACGCCCCCGGACCTGCACACTTTGGGCTCTTTTCATGTGTGTTGCAATTACAGAGGTTTCTCTGAAGATGCCCCCACGCAGTTTTCCCCCAGTTGGGGTTTGCGGCGGCTGAGGACCCCAGCTCTGCTCCAGGTGGGAGCGGGGGGTTGGGAACACGCTTGGGGTTCGGTGCCACATTCATTTACTCACTCACAGGCACCAAAAATGATGGCGGGCTCGAAGAAACGACGACTTAAAGAGGAAGGCAGGCTTCCAGTCGGTTTGAGTTGAAACCTGCAGTCGGCGGGGCCAGCATCGCTGCTGGAGGACTGCTGTAGCTGGCTGAGGCATGGACCTTTTCCCGTACCCAGGGGCTGCAGTAAGCTGACATCACGCAGGCAGGTGAGGCTATTCTACAAACAGAAACTTGGAGTTCTGTCAGTTCGGAGGTACTGTCTGCAGGCACCCCCCCGGCTATGTTGACAAAAGCAGATTTCTATCAACAAAAGCTTTGGAAGTACAGACGAGGTATGAAACTCATAACCTTCTGGCTCTCAGCTTCATGCGCCTGCCCTTAAGCCACAGGGCATTTTGATGTGCACGAGCTTTCCTGTGTCCTGACTGAGGCTCGAGCTGAGAGTTTTCTAAACAAACACCGTGCGGGAGTTTGTGAAGTACAGCAGAAACGTTCAAAAAATAATAAACCTATGGGCAGGCTTTGAGCAGAAGGCTTTTTCTCTGATCGTCGTGAGACTACGTAGCTTTTCCCTGCGCTCCAAAGGCCTTCTTCAAAGCATTTTTGTTGGCTCTGTGAATAGGAAAATCATGAAGACACTGAGACGGGCAGTAAAATGAGGCCCGTAAATGCCCGCCCCCTCCCCCCCCCGCCCTTCCCACCCTTGTCAGCCAGTCTAGGCCCAATGCTGTCTACGCTATACCTTGCTGTACATAAAGGCAGACTCCATTTCAGGGCTAGGAGCTGCAGTCTTGCTGTGAAAGCAAACGGGTAACAAACAAGATGTTTCTGCCTTGGCACTCCTTTCTTAGGAGAGAAGGAAGACAAAGTGCCCCTGCACATACCGTTCCCAGAATCTATTTTATTTAAATAGTCTGGAGACAAAGGTCAAAGAACAAATGTAATAGGGTTGTTAAAGATCCTATAAACCCCTCTACCTCAAAAAAAAAAAAAAATCGGAGCCTGCTCTCTATGACTTTTCCCATGACGTCATTCCAGGCCTCAGCCCAAGCTGCAGGTTTGCAGCTGCCATCTGCTAACCTAGGTGTGCACTCCCATCAAGAGGAGTGACTCTCCCTTCTCCACCAGCCCCGTCTTCCTGCTGTCTTCCCCTGGAACCTAATAAAACCAAATGATTAGCTTCCAGCTGATCAAGGAGTACTTCCTTGATCTGGCGGTCACGTGGATTTCTGTCATTATAAAGCATAATTTTAGCTGCTATAAAATCAATGATGTAGTAACAGGTGCTTTCAACACCCGCGCTCGAAACGTACGTAAAGTTTCTTGGAAAAGCTTTAAGCAGTTAAGGATGCAAAAAAAACCCTGCCGCCACCCCCCCCAGTAAGACCAATTTTAACTCCGCTTCTTTGCAGACTTTATAAAAGATCAACTGAAACGTAACCTGGAACAAAGGAGCTTTTGCATTTTTCCTGACGCTTCTGGGACACGCTGTTCTAACACACCTTCTTCGGACTTTGGTCAGCAATCTTGCCCGTGATTTTCGAACAGATGGGATTTTCAAAACCAAACTGGGTTGTCAGCGCCTAATTCCTACAAAGCCTAAAAGGAATCTGCTGCCTAAAGCCTGTCGCAAGCTTTCACCAAGCGGGACTTTTGTCTACGCAGGTAGACTTTTGGACTTTCTCTTTCTGGATGCTCCCAAGAAAGGCTGCAGCAACGAGCCAGCCACCAAAGTACTAGCACCTGGCCCAGAAACAACCCTAAAAATAATACAGGATGTAAAACCCAGAAGATTAATGATGTTCTTCCCAGTGGCACCGTTTGACTGTAACCAGCTCACTTTCAGCTGTTCTGTTGTCCTATTCTTCTGCGATTAGGAGTTATGCAGCGACAGAACGATAATTTATTTTTATGGGCAAGATTTTAAGTAGCAGATGTATTTGGGTGGGTTATTTTATTTCATCAACACTATGGAAAAGCAGATCCTGCCATCCCATAAACAAACAAAAAAAAGAGTTCAAAACCGCGCGGGCTGAAAAGGAGCTGCACATCTGCACCGCCCACGAGGCCAAAAAGCAGAGATAAAAGACCGTACTTGGTGGGAAAGGGCGTTTGAAATTGGCCAGGTAAACAAAGGGAGGGGACTTCATTTCTCTGCCTCCCCCCGCTTGGAGAAAGGGGAATCCCTCTCATCAGCGAAGGATGAGGACAGCCTGTAAGGAGCAAAACGCAGCTGGATCCCGGACGAACCGGGGAGATCCAGGATTGCCGCCGCCTGAGGGAGCTCAGGACTTCGAGTAAGGACTGCGAAAAAAGGCAAGAGGCTCGTAGAAGCAGAGAGAGGATGCTCCCACTCCCCTTATTACAGAGTTTTTGTTCAAAAAAAAAAAAAAATTAAAGCTCTGCAACTACGTACCGACCAACCACGGAGGTGCCCTCCCAGCGCTACATACATCACAATATAGGAGGAAGAGATCTCATGAAATCTCACTGGCAGCACTTTGAAGCGGTATTCGGTTTTTTTGTACATACCTGCCTTTTCACCAACTGTTCCGAGCCATGTTTTCTTTCTTTTTCAGAAAGGAGGAAAGGGAGGGATGTACGGATTGGAATCAGCAGCTGGCATATCCGCTCGTGGATACTAACCCAGTCAGCTTTTTGATGATCTACATCACTAACAAAATAAGGGAAGAACGGTATTTTTGTTTGCTTGGAAATGATGTAAGGAAAGATTATTGCCTGCTTTATCTTCTGGACTTTCACCACAAGAATTACCCACAACAGCCGCCAGCCTGTGGGTATCACGGAGTACCTAATATATACTTGATATTCCCAAACAGGAACACAGCGCTGTCCTGCCAAGTGAGCATGATTCTGCATGTTAAAACCTTATTTAAATCACTCGCAAAACTCCTGATACAGTTAGGTTTGAGCAAATGCCTGGCTTTCAACAGTGCGGTACACAAACCTCCCCCCCAAAGCCAAAGAAACCCCAAGTCATTGTGAAACCAATGAAATATATAGTTAACGTATGACTTCACTGAGGACCCCGTGGAAGATGTTTGTGTAAACATCTAGAAAGCTCACTGCACCGCTCTCTGTTTGATGCGGGCACCACTTCACGTGGATAGGAACGCTCCAGCTGAGCGATTGCTGAGCGTGCCCGCTCCAGTTCCCGCTACCCTGCCTGCTGAGCCGCATCCTGGGCCTTCTCCCTGCCTCCCTCCTGGGCCTCATCCCTGCCTGCTGAGCTTTCTCCCAAGCCTCGTCCCTCCCTGCCACACGGGCTTCATCCCTGTGCCCTGAGCCTTGTCCTGGGGCTAGTCCCTGCCTCTTGCCCTGTCCCTGTGTCCCAGACCGCGTCGCAGGCTTTGTCCCCGTCTCTCAGTCCTTGCCCTGGGCCTGTTCCTGCCTCCTGGGCCTCGTCCTGGGCATTCTCCCTGTGCCCTGAGCCTTGTCCTGGGCCTGTTCCGGCCTCCCGGGCCTTCTCCCCGAGTCCTGAGCCTTGTGCTGGGCTTTCTCTCTGCCTCTTGCCCTGTACCGGGCCTGTTCCTGTCTCCTGCGCCTCATCCTGGGCCTCCTCCCCGTGTCCTGAGCCTTGTCCCAGGGCTAGTCCCTGCCTCTTGCCCTCTTCTGGGCCTGTTCCTGCCTCCTGGACCTCGTCTTGGGCCTCCTCCCTGTGTCCTGAGCCTTGCCCCGGGGCTAGTCCCTGCCTCTTGCCCTGTCCCTCTGCCCCAGGACCGCTCCCGCCTCCTGG